ATGTATGAAATCCATCTGAACCGATTCCAAAAATATCAATTTATTTATACTAAATGTAACTTTATATAGTATATTGAATTTAAAATAATATCGAACTGTTTTAAAGTAGCTGTATCAAATTTTAAATACCATGAACTTTAAAAGAAAATCCGTTTTATATATTTTCTTCTCGAATATCTACAGTAGAGCCTCGATTATCCGACCTAATTGGGGACTGGGGTTGGTCGGATAATTGAAAAGTCGGATAATCGAAAAGTATGAAAAAATCCATTATTAGTGTAGTATATTATTATATCCCATGTAATTGTAATATTAGTATATCGCTATTAACCTACTTTGCGTTGAATTTTCATCGATGTTAAGCCTAACAAAAATTTGTTTAAAATAATAATCATCGCTATTGTATCGTTAAAAATTAGAAAGTTAAGCCTCGTTTAAATACTGGCTCCCTTTAATGATCGAATGAGTGTTGCCAGCTAAAACACGTAAAAATAATATTAAAGTAGCCAAGACATAGCCAAATATTGTAGCGCCACATCAATAGCGGACATTAAAATTTGCCGACTAGGACGGTCGGTTGATAGGGGGTCGGATAATCGAGGCTCTACTGTACTCGTATAATCCCAGTTATAAACCGTATTTAGCCTAAAAGTATTTTTTAATGTACTCAAAATATTTAAAAAATTAAACTTTACAATATTAAGGGGAAACTAACAAAAATTGAAGTTATAATCACATTAAATAAAGTAATTCGGTAATTACAGAAATCATATTATATTATATTTTATCCCGCATTACTTACATAAAAAAATTGCAAAAAAGTAATATATTATCGTGGGCTAGTTTGGGGGATGCGCAGGACTCAGCTACACCCCCTTCTGTGGGTTTTTCCCGAGTAAAGCCTGATACCTCAGGTAGTAAAACAGTTTTTAAGGCACACAGTTTCCTTTCTGCGCCCTCCTTTAACGATCTGGATTCTTTATTGCATGTTATTACTGACATTTCGTTCAGATATAATTAACAAATATGATCTTTAACGCGTTTTCTTTTTCTTTATCGATAAGTAAGTTCAAAATCAAATTTACTGCTTAACATTCCATACATTTTTTTATAAGAAAATGTAGGAAATTTAATTTCACATTAGGTTACTCAATGCTGACGTATTTGTTTATAAGGTTCGATATTGAAGAAATTATTTATTTTTTTTGAAGGGTTAACATATTAATTTAATTAGGTCCTATCGAAATTCTATAAAATCCACGTTATATGAAATTTAAGCAAGTACCTAAAAATTCAGCATAAAAATAAAACTATAGTAAAATTTTCGTTTACTGAATCCAAAAAAATTCCTTCGCCATAGGATCGTAAATGGTAACAATTCCGAATTTTATAACCGAGCCAGAATTTAACGTTTTCACAAATGCTAGCTATCTTTACCGACATTCGGGACTTATCTTTCTGGTGTGTATGAAGGAATATATCACAGCATTTGCCCAGATATATCACAACATTATTGTTATTATTCATTTATTTTACAAGTAAACGAGAAATACAATCCGGATAAAATTTTATATCGATGTTAGATAATTTCTCGAAAAACACATTTCATTTTTTTAAAATTTTTATTGTTAATCACGTTCGCTAATATTGAGATCCACCAATAGCCGAGTGGATAAAAGCGAACACAGTTATGGGTTGGCGCCCAACCGAAGGGCTAGCTAGCCTCGTGTTTCTGGGTGTTATTCACGTGTTTAACCCTGAATAGAGACCAGTTCCCGTAGAGTCCTCCGGAGATCCCCTTGGCAACTCGCCCACGTGCATTATTCCATCAAACATGCAAACACGCTAATATTAAAACATCTTCCTTTTTAATATCAAAGGTGTCTAAGAATAGGCTATATAAATATAAATCTATATAATCATTCTACCGACTAATTAAATATTGGTCGAGCTTTTTCAGAATTATTTCGGGAAAGACATATTTAAAGCTTTCCGACGATTTATTCTTGTTTTATTTGATGTATAATTCTCACCCACGCATAACTATATTAAACAAGTATACTAGATATACCGGTAATATATTTCGCTGCTTCCCGTCGTTTTCAACTCTATAAATCGCGATTTATTGTACAGAAAAATTGTAAGCGTGGGTATAACGTTAAATTTATATTATTTTATTTTTTATATTAGAGAAATCCATTAGTTTATCGAAGAAAAAAATTGCTATAATAACTTTAAATGTCCAGAGAATAAAGAAATATTTTTATTTCTGATTTTTATTTATTTATTTGTTTATTTTAATTCTTCAAAGGTAACGACGTAGGCAAGAAATACAATACATTCCAACAAAGAATATAGCATCCTATTAAAAAAAACGGATTTTTACATAATCCCTAAATAACGAGGATAATTTTTTTTTCTATTTGTTATGATTATTTTTTTCCTTTCTTGTTTGTAAGTTTTTTACTTGAAATTTTTTTGCTGGTTTAATCGGTCAAAAGTCGAAAGTTCACGCGTTGTTTGAAAGTAGTAGTCCACGAATTACTTTCGAAAAATAAAATGAAAGAAATAAAAAAAACATGGCGCGTCATAAAAATTAAATTTTATATTTTTCTTTCTCGAATTTTGCGAATATAAAAACAGAAACGAATGAAAACAAATCAGGATATTTAAGTTGGAAGAAAAAATGTTTATGCGTGTTCTTTTACGGCCTTTACTGGTAAATTTTATGGATTCGCTCCGTCGGGACATTTCATTTTAGTTTCTTTCGTATGTCAATTATTCGGCCGATGATGTATTCGAAATGATGATGGCAGATCGATTGAGAATATTTATAGAAAGTGCTATTGCGCATGTTGTTAACTGTCTCCTAAATGAAACGGTAACATAGTATTTATCATCGATTTTTAATGTTTCCTTACGATCAAATTATTCTACTTTTCAATGGGGGGAAACATTATTTTCAAATCAATCCATTATATAAGTAAAATGAATAGAAGAAAAATCGTTAGAGTTAAGAGACAACTTACTTCAGCCGTTGCAAGAAAGCTGAGAAAGAGCTGCAAGAAAATATTCGGGTAATAAAAAACGAAATATAATTACAATACTTAATTTTAAAAACAAAGTTTCGGACTGTTCAAATTAAGATACAGGCTTAAATAGCTTTGAAATAAAAAAAAAACTGGTTTTTCCCTCACGATAGGCCTATTAACTTGAAAGTATAGATTGCGTGCTCTTCATTTATTAATTCGTATATATTACATTTAATTGGCATTTTTATTTAAATTGTTAACTTGAAGAGAATATTACTACTATTATATATATACTCACGAAGGTGACATAATACGACGCAATCATAAAAAAAGTTTAATAGGTAAACTCGTGTGCAAAGGGATTTAGATAAAATTATAACTAGTAAATATAATAATAAAGAAATAATTTTGCAATAAATGAAAATGCAATGAGGGCCATTTCATTTGGCAAGCGTGCAACATAAACGTTTTCAACTTTCAGTACGCGAAAAACATAGGAAAAGAGATTTTTTTTTAAATTTCTTATAATAAATACAGACTAATCTTTTAAATATTCTTTATAATAATCTTAATTTTATTTTCAAAGTAGCAATTAACTACTGATAATGCATGTTTTAAGATGTACATTTTTAATACGTCGAGCATTTTGTAGTGACGAATTTTTTTAAAAACTTATCAGAGTTAGATTTTCTCCTGAGCAGAGAAATTAATCTTTTGCAGTATTTTTTAATTAAAAATATTTTAAATGCAAAACCAATGTAAATGTAATTAGCTTAGTTTGTTCCATTAAATCAGGAACGTTTCTGATAAAATTTATGGTATGTTTCTGGTATGTTTTATAACGTGAATAAATTTACCTTGTAATAATCATAAAATGATTATGCGAAAAACTAACAATTCTGAAAAGTGTATTTTACGATGTTTATTTTACGTAATCTGAGAAAATTTCTTTCGTCTTACTTAATTGTGAAATGATTAGTTATTAAATCCACGAGATCTTTCGCAGATCACATACTGTACAATGACGGAAAATCTATACGAGATTTATCGAAAAGAAACAAATAAAAATATATTAATTATGATAATTTCGGGAGATTAGTCTCTATAACGAGAGGGATTTTCAGTCAACGAATGCTAAGTGAAATATCGAAGAGGATTTATTTTAGTGTTTTACCATTAATTAATTATCCATGAAGATAAATTTATTGCATTTCATGTTTTTCTACGATTTATTTTGAAATCTCATAAAATTTGTTCGAAAATATTAAAAATGCTTTTAAATCTATTTATCAAAAATCTTTCCATTAATTAAAACAGGGGAATCTTTTATTGAATTCTGATGATAGAGCGTACAGCGTTACTTTTAAAATAGTCTCATCCTTATTTTTCTATTCGACTGTGGACAAAAACTCTCGAAAAGTGTGAAGTCGAACATAAAATTTCGTTTAGAACATTACTTAGAATTTATTGTTTGGTTCGTGATACTTTGCATTTCTTTTACGTTTACAATAAAAAGATATTCCGAAAGATTTACGTCTACTTCGAAGTATATCGATTTATAAGATAAACAATCAAAGTAAATATCAAACAATAAAATTTAAACAAGACCCATAGAATTAATAGTAGTCAGGATAATTTCTAATTCATCCGAACGACACTGTGAACATATTACTGCTTTCGTTAAACTAATAAAATCTGACTTCAAAATATACTGTCTACGCCAATAATAGATATAAAAGTAGATAAACTTTCTACATTATCACATATACGAAATATAAGTTTAAACTTGCGTACGACACTATAATTTATTATATAGTTTAATACGTGTAATAAATTTGATTTTTATGTTTGCATAACCTCACTTCCTAAATGTTAATTTTGTATGTCTTAAATTAAAATACTGTATAGACTTAATGCTGGTCAAGTCTTACTAAAATGTATGTTAATGTTATGCTTTTTGTATTTTAGGTAACGAACGTGCAGTGACCTATGACCTTTAGTCGGCTGGTACAACCTCCGAACAGATGGGCTTCGATCGTCTTCCCATCAACTGTCGGCGACCGGTTGATGTCTGAACCAGCGACGGACACTGGCTGGCCAGGTGTCCTTTTCGCCACTTGAATTAACCCCAAGTCTTTCCTATCCACCCACCAATTACCCCGACTCGATGTTCCTCAACCAAGCAATGAGGTATTATAGGTTATGGATCTATTGTTGTAATCTCATCTTATTAGTGAGCGTTCTGATCTTTATCGTTCTTGCTGTGTGGGTCATTACCGATATCCGCCTGGCTCTCTTCCCATCTATTCAGCTCCATCAACCCACTCTCATTTACGCTTACTTCGCGCTAGCTCTTCAGGGTGGAATCTTGCAAGCTATTGGATGCGTTGGGGCATTAAGGATGAACGAACGGCTTCTAACTATTTACTGGACGCTGATGTTGGTGTTGCTTTTTGGGGACGCCATCGTTGGCATGGTATGGTTGTTTCGATATCAACATTTGACCACAAATTTACGCAGCGATCTCAGATCGAGGCTTCTATCAGATTATGGTATCGATGTGGAATTCCAACATCTTTGGGACCAAATCCAAATTGATTCAAAGTGCTGCGGTGTAAGCGATCCTCACGATTATAATTATACGAGTTGGATTATGCACAAGAGTGCCAAGCACCAGGTGGTCCCTCGAAGTTGCTGTAGACATTACAACGTCTTTCAGGACTCTAATCTGAATCAGAGTTGTGTGGAAACTTATCGCGATGACATAATATATCAACAGGGTTGTTATAATTCTGTACGTCGATGGTTGCAACATAACGCGGATATGTTATCGGTGCTTGGATTCTGTGTCATTGCTTTTCTAAAACTCTGTTTCCTCGGCATTCTCAGGTATGAAATCAAAGAAATGATTCAAAAAATACGAATTCTGAAAGATATGGACGATCAGTCACCTATAGTGGGTCTCGAAAGTCAGATCATAAAACCGGATGCTACCCACGTGACCAATAATTGTACTACTCATCCCAACTATGTGATTACAGAACCTTTGAATGGAAATAACAATGAACGCGATGTCAAGAATTCGTGTCCTGTTTAAGTTTTAATACCGACAACTGATGGTCAGATTAACAGATAAATTCTATCCCCTATTATTCTTAACTAAAATATCATTTCTTGCATTAAAATAAATTCCTTTTACATATTAATTCCACTAGAAATAGCAAAATAAATACTAATAAAGCATTTGAACTGAATCTATGTTTATTTCTATATCTGTTATTCCTGATCACACATTTGTCAGTATTAACTTGGACACTGTAAAGAACTGAAGGAAACGAGTCGATTTGCCTTCTTCTTAAGATCAACTTCTTAAGGAATAGTTTTGTATATTCACTTCTTATTTGCAACAAAAATTACTTGACACAAGTGCTTTTCACTCACTTCTATACTACGACCGTAGTGAAATCTTTAATAGAATTAAAGCGGAGAAAGAGGAAGAGAGATGTTAGCGTTTTAAAACTGTATACAACGAAATCAAAAAGGGACCCCAATTTTGGAGAATATTTGGTCCTGTTCCTACAAGAAATCGACCAGAAATGTCCTCCTCATTCAAAGTATTTCCTGTTTGCGAATTGAAAGCAGTATTAACATAGTCTGATAGATTTAGTAATAGTCATGTATTCTACAAAAGACGATACGATCTTCGTCCATTCTCGATTATAGTCAGTCTGTAGGAAAGAAAGAAAAAAAAAAACATTTATTCCTAACATTTTCTCCTATCATTTAGCAGACATATCTCTTATATCCGAGATTTTTCAATGGAACGGATCAAAGTTGCAACTTCGGCTTATATGACCCACGATGGTCTTCCCACCCCTTCTTCCGTACCCAATACACAATCTGTGATTTGAAAGAAAAAGTAAAAAAGCTGTATAATAATACCTGTATATCTATCTGTCTACATACATATTGTAACTATATAAACATATATACACATAAATATTGTATGTATGTATATATATATTAAAAATATATATACATACACTTACACACATTACATGCAAGAACGGCAAATTGGCTGTTTATAGATTCTTTCTCAAGATGGCTTTCCACCATTGGATAATAGCATGCAGCTGTTTAGAATTAAACACGAAGCGGAACAAACAACTAGTCAAATAAAGGAAATGTGTCCGGATGATTCGTGTTCTGTGATTTTTGCCACTTTAATATAACAAAAAAAATAAAAAATAAGCGTTAATAGAATATTTATCAAAACATCAGAATCACGTTTAAAATCACTACTATGCTTTTTGTCTGCGTGTGTGTGTGTGTGTGTGTGTGTGTGTGTCAGACTGTCAAGCTGACAACAAGTTTGCGTGTATTGCGTTGATAGACATTTATATTTTTGCTTATTTTATTTATTGTGAAAAGTCTACAGAATAAATATTCTATTCATTTAAAATTCAATACACAAATTTATATTCGAAAACGTCATCCAATGGTTTAAAAGTCAACGGGACTTCACATGGACATTTTTTTTAGTTTTATTTAAAATAATTGAATATTTTATCGTTCTTCTTACATAATGCATTAAGCTGTATTAAAACCTGTTTTCCAAAGGAAAAAAAATCAGATCCAAAGGATGAACTTCTATTTAAAAAAAAATTAAAAAAGAGCATCGGAAGCATCGAAACAAATGGCCGAATTAATTACAAAATATGTTTGTTCGAATGAAAAATTCCAGATGTTTGTACATATAGTAAATTGCTTAGCGAATAAACTCTTGGAATATTTCTTAGGAATATTTAATTGACAATTAATGCGGCTAGTTGGTTTAGCAACTCCATTTTGTTTAATAGGAGTAGATTTTTCTAGATGTTATTTAATAACCATTAATACAACATTTAGAGAAAAAAGGGAAAAGATATCTTTCTAAGATTGATTAGATTTCTACTTAAAACGAAAGAATAATAATCATTTGTATATCATGTTACATTGAAGAATAATTATTTTGAAAAATATCATTTCTATAAATAGCCCTTATAGTTTATTTCACGATTTAAAAAGAGTGGCCATTAGAGAGACGATACTTTATTCCTCAGTTCCCTATTGTCGTTCGTAGAAGTATTAAAAATTGTCATACGAAGTATTTATTAACCAATAAAATTTATATAATATTTTCGTACAATATATTTATATATTTGTAAATTTTCTGAAAAAATAAAATAATTAGCAAAATTTCTGTGCTTAAAAAATCGGGATAGACATCCGATAAAATCAGTTTACGTGGAATCTTCCTGGAATATTGACTTTTCGTATTTTTGGATATTCGATTTAAAATATCCATTTGTATTCTCGTTATCTGTATTGTGTGACTTTTTGTTTCTTTGAATTGCCGATAGAAAGAAATTCACTGTAATCAATATAAATGTTGTCCTTCGTGGTAAGGTTATTCTTCATTTCGTTCTCTCGTTCCTTGTCATTAATTTCTTGTCTCCAGACTTTTATCGTCACTGAAAGTAATCGTCAATCGATCTCTAGTAGGGCCTATAACATGCAAAAACTAATAACTTGTCTAATAGAAAGTTTAGTTTAATAAGCTTATATTTGACGAAGCGTCAGAACCTGGCCAAAATTACTCTTTACGGGTCTCTGGCTATGCAGAATATTCAAAGTTATCAAAATCGATGCGTGATTTGTCTTGGAAAAAATTTTCTTTTATGAGTTTCGCATTTAATTTTCTTTTTATTTCGAGAGCGAAACAAATATTAATTAAAATAGCTTGTTGTAATAATAATAGGAAGAAATAAAAATGGGGAAAACAAGATAGAATTTCATTAATTCTTAACAATACTTCTTATCGGGCAAATTTTCTCAGAATAGCGATTCTTTCGAAAGAATATTCATTAAAAACAAAGAAAATTATCTCTGTTTCATTGTTATAGCCGATTTCTAGTATCGGCCAACCATTATCTAATTCAATTACTACTGCGCCTGTTCTGTCCATTGATTTATTTTCTGTAATTATTTCATTTGTTTGAACAAGCACGAATATCCTCAGATAAACTTTCGACTGATATAAGTCGAATAACTGAAAGAGGAATTCATATTTAAAACAAAAATAATAATAAATAAAACTTCTAGCACCAAAAATTTACAATCGAAAACTCGACTGTAAACACATATTTTAGAATTCTATCTTCTAAAAAGATTCTAAAATGTGCTAGAAAATTTTGTTCGATTGAGGTCTTGGAGAAACTCTGTTTCGCCATAGCAACGCACGTGCAAATCCTGTGTCGGGGGTAAGGTTGCCGAGTAATGATCGATCCCGTTTGACACTGAGCGTGCGGTTGACCTTGAAGATTCGTCATCTCTTCATTTATTTCCAGTAAAATATTTTCTTTTTTCTACGATATTAACATTTACAGAAAATATACGAAACGTTGGATAAACAACTAAAATTGGGACCGGTTGGGAAATTGGTAGACTATTCTTTTTACTTTCAGATTTTGTATTGGGCGCAGATACGATTAAATTATTTACATATTTAATTGTAATTAAACAAAATCGACTGTGTTTAATGGAAGTACATTAAATCTCTAGCGGCTGCGCTCCTAACTTATATGTTCTAAACTGCGACAATTATTAATTCCATTCGAAATAAAACTGTATCCGTGTTTGATTCTGTTTATACTGAAAACCGATTTGGATTTCGAATAAGCACGAAACCATTATAATGTAAAACTTGTAAACCTATTATAATAGAGGAACTGTTGTTAAATATATAAATATATATATAAATATATATAGTGTTTCTATACGATATAGATATAATTTTTTAGAATTACAGTTGTTTCGTTTAATTAAATTTAACCAAAGTATTAAAACCTTGCCAATGTATCAATAAAACGTTGTTTATATAAAAAATATATATATAATAAATAATTACAGAAGAGATTTTTTAATACTTAAATGTCTTATATGAAAATTACCAATTTCACAATTTCTTTCAACGGTTATTTCATCGTTTTATATAATTTTCTATCAGACCTTTATGCTTAAATTAACGTTATCATTCAAATTCTATACTAATAACCTATTTAAATATTGAACATTTTATTTTTAAACACGTTAACCGTGTTAATAAAGTAGTAAAATAGTATTTAAATATTTGATCTCATCGAAAAAATCTGAGATTTTTTCCGGAAACTGAAAAGTTTAGATTATAAATGTACAGTATATATATATAAATAAACAAAAAACAAAAACAAAAACAAAATGGAGAGGAAAATAAGATACGATGCTTTAGAAAAATGTTTTCTCTCTGAAGCATTATTTCAAATCTTCAAATAAAATATGCCTTCCTTATTTTGATATTTTGAAATATATTCTCCGCGATTTTCCTTTTTCCTGAGATATTAAGCTGTTAAAGAATGGATGCGGAAACTGGAAATAACTTATATTTATATACAGTCGAAGCATCAATAACGGCCACCTCCCAACGGCGACCAGCTCAAAAAGGTGGCCATTTTCGGGAACGTTTATGTTTGAAATGCATACAAAAATAACTTCCAAACAATGATCATTTTTTTATCTTCCCGTCAGTGGCCGTTGTTCACAGGTTTGACTGTACTGTACATAGTCCAATATCATGTAGCTAGCATCAAAATTTAAAAAAATAAGACAATAAAATTATTTTCAATATATTAAATGTAACAATTTTAATCGTAATTTTTCTAATTATTTTTATTATTAATTGATCGTGACCTTAAAGATCTTAAATATTATAAACTGCAATTTAAAAATCTTATTTGAAATTAATAAAAATCAAAATATTCTGATTTCGTTTTCCTTCTAATCATTAAAAATATTTTTAAAAAATAATAACACTGCAATAATAAATGGAAAATTATTATATAATAAAAATCTGCAGCTAACCTCTTTTATACAATAAAAATTTTCTGAAACTTATAAAATTAAAAGCGAAAGAAAAATTGGAAAATCAAAACTGATTCAGACTTTGGTCTAATAAAAAGTTACTCAATAAAATTGATCTTATGAGAAGCTTTTACAATTATTTTTCAAATATTTTTATAATAAAACTTTTCTAAAGTACCTAATTTAATTAGATTTAAGCTACAAAAATATAACTTTGATTTACTCAAGTAAATTTAAGAGATTGAAGTAAATTTTTTAATATTAAAATATGTTTTTTTTTTTTAATTTTTGCGCAGAATAATAATTTTTTAACCGAAAAACTCAAAAAATAACAGCATTTAATTGTAAACATCTCTCTGTAATTAAAAAAACTTCTAAAAAAGAATGCTCATTTAATCAATTCTTTCGATCTTCATTTTTATCCAGCTCATTTAATAAATTAATGGTGTTGTTTCTTTTTTTACCTATTGAACCACAAATTGATTGTCTTACGATGTTAGATCACAAAAGCATATATTTTGTAGAAAGTCAGAAGAGCTGAACTAATCAATCTTTTATGATGAAGCGATGCAGGAAGATATAAATTAATTTTTACTCGAAAAATTCAATACACTTTATTATAGAATAAATTAAATCAAACAATTATTACGTGTTTAGAACTTTCATTATAAATTATTTTATATTTGAGTAGATTTTATGCTAAAATGTTTTGTTTTAATATGATAAGTCGTGTTAATTAATTCTATCATCCGTCATATTTTAGACACTTTTGGAATACCTTAAAACACTGGTTTTCAACGTTTATGTGCTGATGGC